TTTTTTGATCACTATGACCTTCAATTCAACATTTAAATATATCAACGAATTCGAAGTTTTATCAATTAACATTGTTCATTTTCATTCATAGACTAAAGTTTATTATATTTTTGTTAGGGATACCTTCCAACCTTGATCTATGAACATTTTCATGGCATCAGTGAAGAATACTTTTATTACATGTATATATCCGAGTATATTTTTGAGTCTCATTCAGTTTTACTTTCACATGATCATGTGCTTACATGATCCAACATTCCGTTTCACCTGACTGTGGTTTTCTGAATCTAAATGACTACTTACTGAAACCGATAATGAGAACCCATCGTTTTTCTTCTTTATCAAAAACGTTCCTTCAAAATGTGTTTTGTTCAATCAAAAAACAAAGAAAAAGCCTTTTATTATATTATCTAATAATAGAGGAGCATGTAATAAAAAGGCATTATAACAGTAACTTTGTCCGAAGAGCCTGATCCTGTCATGTTGTCAGATGAGGATCATCAGGTCAAACTCGACTCTTTCGAAGTGTCTGATCACGTCTGGTTTCATTTGATGATCTGTCAACTTGTCTCGATCTGGCTCTTTGGATCATGTTACTGTTATTATAAGATATGTATCACATAAACTGTTATTGATAAGACTTAACATTAGATATCAATAGTACAAATATTTTAATTATTATTTTACAGATTTCTACGGACAGTTTGGCAGTCCGATATTAGTGGGCAACATTCCGATATAGTTATCAGTCTGAATTTTTTGTGCTATTTCAGTTCTGATATGCCTCTAAATTGATAGGACATTTGACGAAAAGAGATAAAAAACTGATTGTAAAAGAAACAGCAACGTATAATCATTCGCTCATTATTGTAACTGTACAAGTATTTTAGAAGAACTTGGTTTTAATTCTATGTCTGGAAATCCTGTTCATAGATCGGTATTGTTGGTAGATTTTTTGAGATCGTGTTTGTTATCTTCACATTTTTCATGATCAAAGGCTGTGCGAAAAGTTGGCGGACTTCTGCCATAGCTATTTTACCTAACATCATGTTATGTCCCAGTTTGGTAGACATGTTTTTACAATAAATTCAAGTGATTGGTATTAAAATATCAAATATATTATTATATATTTCAACCTTATTTAAAATTTTAAACTTCGAAAAAGGGTAACGGAGCAGGTCAAAATTTTGTACGATGCTTGAGTAATTTACAAACAATACACTAAATAATGTCTAAAAGCATACATGTATCTGCGATATGAAGGGAAAACGAAAAAAAAACGTTCAAATAAGAATTGTTATTCCTTTCATATACCGAATAGTGCTTAATGCTGCAAATGCTGGAGGAAGAAGGAAATATGTTAAAAGTGAGCCGTGCATTTGTGTGTAAATAACTTAGACAGTTTTTGAGTGGTAGAAACTCTATATCAGAGGATAGACGGTCTATGAGGAAACAGATCATCAGGAAAAATCTGATTTAAAAGTTAGAAACGTCATGGCGCTTCACTGTTGCAGGGTAACATGTATGCAGCACAATATTAAAACATTTACAAACGAACTCGTGCTACTTAAAAAAATTGTTAGCAAACTAAATGTTAAGGGAAAGTATTTGAGAAACTCATGACTATATGTTTTTTTTGGCCTACCATGTAGTTAAGTGTGCTCCATGGTAACAAACCATGTTGATTTTACAATAAAGTATCTGAAATTCTATTTAATCAATTGGAATAAAAATCCATAAATCAACAATATAAATATTTTACATACGATAAAGAGCTATTGTTGACTACATGTATAACTTTTAAAATTAAAAGAAAAATTATTTTGTATCAGCAACATATTTGATTCAGATAACAGGTAATAAAGTAGTTCTATTGTGATTTTGATTTAATGTAGTTATAAAAATACATTTAGAGTTGAAGGATGATTATTTCATCTTAGTGGTAGTCTTTGTGTCGGGTAAATCGTGTTGATTGATGATTTATGCTCGTTTGTCACCCTGTTCTTTTCCTCCTTTCTTTCTTCTTTTTAGATTTGCTGATTTCCTCGCCAATTTCTGTATAGATTGAAAACCACCTCTCTAATGGTGAAATACTTCTTCTGTGTCTTAGTATAACGAGCTTTCTGATTGATAATGATGATCATGAGTGACACGAGAAGAAAAATAATACCTCTTCCCGTGACGATTATAAGGGTTGATATTTCGGCACATTTCCGCTTTTAAAAGATGCTTCAACATGACTCTGTAATGTCATTTCTGTGAATAAATGAGAACGCAGATGTCATATCTGCTTGTACAAAATATTATGATTATTACAAAATTGTATACAATTTGAGCTACACAACTCGATTCACCATAATTAGAAAAACATAAATATTAATTTTATTTCTGCTGTTTCTTAGTGTATATTGGTATAATATTTCTTTGATTTCTTCGCCATTTATATGCAATTATATTTAAAGAAAAAAATTAACCCCCCAAAAAAAATAATAATAATAATAAAAATATTTTAGCCAATTGATAATATACAGAGATTAGAAATATAGGAACAATAAATAACTAGATAATATTAGGCCACACAACATATATTGATTTCACAAGAAAATCGACTATTATTTAGAATTTTATTATTGAACATATAAGAAAAAATCACTTTACCATCAAATTAAAGCTTTTATGAGTAATATTTATGGAATCTAAAGTGCAATCTGTTTTCCGTGTACTTGTTGATGTCGCCGATAGTAAACTTGAAGTAAAAGTATTCTTGTTATCGATCTGACAGCCATTATTATTGCAAAATGTGTCTTTACAATCATACTTATTTAACATAGCTAATCATAACTTCCTGGGGGCAAGGAGTCGCACAATTCCAACCAAACCAATCCAATGAACACTCTGTACAAAATAATTATGACCGTGTTTTAAAAATCTTTTAATCGAAATGATTGTTTCATTACTTTTTACAAAAAAAATTGAAATTTGCTTGTAACTTCAACTAACCTTCACAAGAATTACCTTTTAGATAATAATTCACACAGCATTCAATACTGTCTTTGTTTCTAGGTTTGACAGAAAGCACAATTGCTTCTATAACATATTCTATATCTTAGAATTGATATTAAAAGAATGATTTCTTGTTTGGTTCTGACTAAATGAAATATTAAAAGCATATTAACTCATATGTCGGTAAGATTTAGATGTAGGGGATTTAAAAAAATCATATTTTCTTTCCTTCTTACAGCTGTTCAACTTATAGAAATGGTAAACTGAGTTTAAAATCTAGCAGGGATTATATTTTTGGCGTAACGTTTGAAAATATGGCGTGTTCTGCTTCTCAAAATTACTACAGAATTATGAATTTAGTTTACATTTTTAAACAATCGAAAGCCTAAAGGAATTCCTTGAAGTAAATAAAATTGATAATTAAGGACTTAAGTGTCTGAAAATATCAAATAAATATGATTTTCCAAACAAACTTCAGTCTTGTAAGCTTTGAAATGCTTCCAATTTAAGAGGCGATATGAGGGAAAAAAGAGTTTCTTTCTATTATCAAATATGGAGATAACGAACAGCAATCAAGCACAAAACTCCATCAAAATACAAATCAGGAGCAATTACATTATAATTGTTACCATATCTCTTGACTTTTCGAGTCTGTGAACATTTCATTAATTTTTAAAAACAATAAATATGAGAAGAATCTTTAAGCATGCAATTTTTTATAGGCTTATCTATTACAAATTCCGGGCATATTTATGATGGTTTAAAAGCCAATGAAGTTATATTCTGCTCAGTTCAAATCATAATAGCGATGATCTATTAATAGACTATGCAAGGAAGATTTGATTAAGTGTGATATGTTTCCGTGTACTAGTATAGTTTTACCATGAAAATGTTGGGTGTGCCGAATCTTTAGCACGCTGTTTATGGTGGCATATCAGGTCCAAAAATAGAATAGGAGATATTGCACGGAATATCTGTGATCATTACATCGCCCTTTGGGAATAAATAGCCTTCTGATTTATATAGTACGGGAATAGTACTGTCAGTATAGATGTCAAAGAACTTTTATTATAATTCCAAAACTTTCATATATGAATGCTTATATGTCATGTCCTAACTTTAAAGAAAACTTTCAACATATACATTTGCATTAATTATGCATAATTAAAGAATTAGAGACATTTAATCATAATTTTGGCTAGCGATTGACGACTTTTTAGTTTGATGGTCAATTGGAAATCGACCTCATATAAACTAACATAAACTAAGTTTCATTAGGTAAACATAACATGCCGAAAAAATAAAAAAAAATACAAGGCAATATTGGGACATGTACAAGCATTTCGATAGGTTGCAAAGGGTAGCGACAACTGTAACTTCGACATGAACATGTTTTTACATTAATGATTTATTTTATTTCCATGGAAGTTTGCGAATACATGTGCGCTTTTTATTACATAAGTATTACCTACTCTTTTTAAATATCTACAACAATCTTAGGTAGCGTCGACTGGTATTTAGTGGTCAATAAAACTAAAAAGTTAAACAATGTAGTCCAAGATGTCAACGCATTGTACGATCATATGTTTTCACTATGTTATATATGTTACGTTTGTTGTAATGGCAATAGATTCAGGATCTATCTGGTATTATCAATTAAACATGTCTTTGAGACAGTGCTGTATTAAAAAACACGTGTTGTTTTTAACTCGTTTATTTAACTAACAGAGAAAATCAAAACATGCACAGAAATGTAATTTCCGGATTACTAAAACATGCACAGAAGTATTATTTCCGGATTACTCAATACGAACTAACATACACTACACTCCTCCCTGACTAGTAGAAGGATCACCATGAAAACAAAAATGAAATAGATTAATGTAGCAAACAGTTCAATCAAATACAACTAAAAATTACTTCACACAAAATGAACTTTACAGAAACATGAGAAAGGTTCATCTCAGTAAATGATCATTTTCAGATTATGGATGAGCTCACAAATTCAGTCTGTCCGGCTTATTACGAGTTCTTGGCGGATTTCGACGTGGCACTGTTACTGGTGTACTGGTCTCTACGTCCTTCGCGCATTCCTGAGTTTTGTCGGTAGGACATGGAACCTTCGCTGATGGCACAAACGGAATATCCACTGGAGTTGGATATGTGGCTTGATTTTTGGATGTATGAACTATTTGGTCAATATGCCTCCTCCAAAGAGATCCATTTACATCGACCTTGTAAGATAAAGGTCCAGTGCGTGAATGGATTCGTCCATTTGCCCATTTGTCCGAGTTAGTGCGATAATCACGCGTGTTTACTGAGTCCCCATCAGCAAATTCTCGAATCACGTTTCCACAGTGTTTTGCCTTTGAGCCATATTGTTTTTGCAGTACTGTACTGGTTAAATCCGGTTTCATAATATCCAATCGGGTACGTATATTACGGCCATACATTAGAATAGACGCTGATTCGTTAGTTGTTCCTTGTGGTGTGATTCTGTATTTGCATAGAAATGAGCTTAGTTTCTTGTTTATGCAAGCTGATTCTCCTGAGGCAGATTTGATTGCTTTTTTAAATGACTGAACGAACCTCTCAGCTTGGCCATTCGTCCGCGGGTGGAATGGAGAAGAGGTTATGTGTCTGATGGCATTCGACTCCATAAACTGACGAAATTCCTCTGAGCGAAATTGAGGTCCATTATCTCTGCAGGTATTCCCTGTCGTGCAAATAAGGTTCGTAAGGTGTTAATTGTTGCATTGCTTGTGGTACTCCTCATCTCAAAGATTTCCGGCCATTTCGAGTATGCATCCACAACAATGAGAAACATGGCATTGTGAAAAGGTCCGGCAAAATCTATGTGTAAGCGATGCCATGCCTTTGGCGGGAAATTCCACGGGTGAACAGGTGCAGCGGAAGGTGTATTCTGCACACGTTTACAACCAGAACAAGCCTTGCAGACTTCCTCAATTGCTTCGTCAACTTTGGGCCACCATACATATGATCTGGCTACTGCCTTCATTTTGACAATACCTATGTGGCCAGAATGAAGCTCTGTCATTACTTTCTCACGCAGAATGTCTGGGATGATCACACGATTTCCCCATGTAACACATCCTTGATAAACATTGAGTTCTTCTCTGCGATTGTAGTACGGCTTTAACTGTTCATCACAATCATGAGGAAAATGTCCTCGGAACACATAGTCCAAAACTTGACTCAGAACTGGGTCACGTTGTGTTTCCCTACGAATTTGCACACAAGTTACAGGTAAGTCATCGAAATGTCTGTTGTAGAACAAATCAATGGGATCCTTTTCATCCTGTGGTTGATTAATACTGGGTAGTGGTACACGCGACAGTGCGTCAGCATTACCATGAGATTTGGTTCCACGAAACTCAATGTCATACTGGTATCCTGAGAGGAATACAGCATAGCGCTGAAGACGTGCTGCTGTCATCACAGGAAGGGACTTCTTTGGATTGAAAATGCTAAGAAGAGGTTTGTGGACTGTGACAAGTGTAAATTTGTGTCCATAAAGGTATGAATTGAACTTTCTAACACCCCAATAGAGGGCAAGGGCCTCTTTGTCAATTTGTGAATAAGCCTTCTCTGCTTGGTTTAATGTGCGCGACGCAAATGCTATAGGTCTTTCGGAGCCATCTGGGAACACATGAGAAAGTACAGATCCGATCCCATACGGTGAAGCATCTGCAGCTAGTTTCAAAGGTAGTTTGGCATCATAATGGCACAAAACCTTGTCAGAGCAAATCAACTCCTAGATTTCTTGGAAGGCTTTATCTCTCTTGGAACTCCATTCCCACTTGGTTCCTTTGTTGAGAAGTTCATGTAGTGGTCCTGCTACACTTGACAGATTGTCTATAAATCGGTGATAATAGTTCACTAGACCTAAAAATGATCTAAGCTGTGACACATTCTCAGGGCGTTGGGCATCTCTTACAGCCTCAGTTTTGTCAGGTGACTTGTGTAGGCCACGAGCATCAATTTCATGTCCAACATAGCTCACATTAGCCTGAAAAAATTCACACTTCTGAAGATTCACATGTAGTCCATAGGATTGTAGACGGTCCAGTACCAGTTTTAAGTTGTGTAAGTGCTCCTCGTCATCGCGACCAGTAACAATGATGTCATCAATGATCACTTGTGTTGATGGTATATTCTGTAATACTTGCTCGATTGCACGCTGCCATAGTGCTGGAGCAGATGCAATTCCGTACGGAAGTCGCTTGTATTTAAACAGGCCTTTATGGGTGTTTATGACGAGTAGATCCTGTGAATCTTCATCTAGTTCCATGTGGTGATATGCTTGCGTTAAGTCCAATTTTGAGAAATTCTTTCCACCAGCTAGGGTTGCGAAAATGTCCTCAATTTTGGGAAGAGGGTATTTGTCGACGCACATTACAGGATTGACAGTTACTTTGTAATCGCCGCACAGTCTAACGTTACCATTCTTCTTAATGGCTGGAACAATGGGAGTAGCCCATTTGCTATGTGCAACAGGCTCAATAATTCCATCTGCCTGTAATTGATCAAGTTCTTGCTCAACCTTGGTCCTCAGAGAGTAAGGAACGGTCCTAGCTTTAAGAAACACAGATTTGGCTTCTGGATCAACTGTAACTGTCCCCTTAATGTGTTTAAGAGTTCCGACTCCAGTGAAAACAACTTCTTATGCGAGTCAAGCAGATCCTTCAATGGTGACTGATTTGTTGAATTACTTGAACGTAAAGTCTTTATCTCCTGCCAGTTGAGCTGTAGCTTTCCAAGCCAGTCTCTTCCTAGTAAAGCTGGTCCATCATGTGGAACAACAAGTAATTCAAGGTTAGCAGATTGTGAGTTGAGTTTAACATTCACCTTCATCTTGCCCACAGGTTGAATCATGTCTCCTGAATATGCACGCAGTAATTCACTGGATGGTTCAAGGTTTACCTTGCTAAAGTTTGCACTGTAGTCACTCTTGGAAATCACGGAAACAGCTGTTCCTGTATCGACTTCCATCTTGATGACTTTGCCTTCAATAATTGGTTCCACAGTTATTGGTGGTTCATGATGTGATTTCATGTGGAAAGTGCTTGTGATGTGTAGAAGTGGTTCTCCATCACCCTCCTTGTAGCGTTCTTCAGAGTGAAATTCCTCCTCATTATAGAATAGGGAAGTGTTACGTCCCTTGTTCCTGTCACGTTTCTTTTTCATGCAGGCTCGCTCAATATGTCCCACCTTCCGACAGAAAGAACAAACAGTGTTTGTGTGTCGACACTGTGATGCTGGATGATCACCATCACAACGATAGCATGAAGGTTTCTGTATTGTTGGTCGTGCATGAGATTGAGCGTTTGTGTTTCTCACAGTAGGTTTCTTGTTGAATTGACGTGGTTTAGGACGTGTGCTGATTTTGTTAACTGTCTCACTCTTTACCCCCTGTACTTCAGCTGCATCTCTAGCTGCCGTTTCCATAGCAACAGCAAGGTTGATTGCTTTCTCCAGGTCAAGGTCTTTCTCTGAGAGTAGCCTCTTTTGTATGGTTTCTTGGCGTAAACCAACCACTAGTCTGTCACGTAACGTGTCACTCAGGGCTGCCTCAAATTGACAATGTGTTGCCAGATTACGGAGCTCTGCTATGTACGACAAAACCGATTCATCTGGGCGTTGATTGCGCTTATGAAATCGGAACCGCTCGGCAATCACCGAGGGTTTGGGGCTCAAATGCTCACGTAGTGCCTTCAAAAGGTCCTTTATGCCTTTGTCTGTAGCCTTAGCTGGGGCAATTAAGTTTTTCAAAAGTGTGTAGGTTTTTGGACCAATTAAACTTATCAAGGCAGGAACTTTATGGTTATTATCAATGTCATTTGCGAGAAAAAATGCCTGTAATCTCTCCTCGTATGACTCCCATGATTCGACCGAGTCGTCAAATTGTTCTATTTTACCGATGTGTGGCATTGTAAACAAATGAAAGTAGGTCAATCACGTACTTACTCCTCGTCGCCAGTTGTTACGTTTGTTGTAATGGTAATAGATTCAGGATCTATCTGGTATTATCAATTAAACATGTCGTTGAGACAGTGCTGTATTAAAAAAACACGTGTTGTTTTTAACTCGTTTATTTAACTAACAGAGAAAATCAAAACATGCACAGAAATGTAATTTCCGGATTACTAAAACATGCACAGAAGTATTATTTCCGGATTACTCAATACGAACTAACATACACTACAATATATAATTAAGTTATTTCGTACAGTATTTTAGCGCGAAAGCACACTGAAACGCAGAAGAAATTCAGTATCCTTGCTTTTAAAAAATAAGGTGTACATGTACATGTGCATGAAATTTTGCACCGTAAAAGCTAGCCTAAGATATTTTCAACATTGATTAGTTGATAATATAACCGTTGATTGCTTCTCATCCCATACCGGACCCAAGTCCTACCCCAATGTAACTGTCTTGTTTGTTTGTCCTGTCTTGTGTGTGCACTATACAAAAAAGACATAAATTATTGAATTAAAAACAGTAATGGCAAAGATTATATCTTCTCAAAACTAAATCAAACTTAAAAATCAAGGTCATGAGGTCAAATATCATAATAAAATCCGAAAGGTCTTGTTACAAGTAATGCACGTGTGAAATAAAAATATCAAAATGCAGAGTATACAATCGTAAAGGTCTTGAATCAACTAATACACATGGCACATGTCAAATGTAAATGTCATATCTTCTCTCAATCAAAAGTTATTAGCAATGTTAAAATTTTTGAAAAGTAGGTCAAACTTCAAGGTCAAGGTCATGGGATTAAAACTCATACTACATTTAGAAGTGATTGTCACAGGTAATGCACGTGTCAAATATGAATTCCCTATCATCGCTCCTTCAGAAGTTAGCAACAATGATGAAATGTTTGAAAAACAGGTCAAACTTGAAGGTCAAGGTCACGGGGTCAAACATCATAGCACATTCACTTGTCAAATATGAAATCCCTATCATATGTCATTCAAAAGTAATCACCAAAGTTAAATTTGTCAAAAATTAGGTCAAAAATGAAGGTCTAGGTCAAGGGGTAAAAAATGATAGCATGCCCAGAAATACCTTCTGACTGGTAATGCACATGTCAAATATGAAAGACCTATCTATTCTCAATCAAAAGTTATAAGCAAAGATAAGAATTTCGAAAAGTAGGTCAAACTTCAAGTTCAAAGTCACGGGGTAAAGGGGGTCAGAAACCATAGTATGTTTGGAAAAGTCTTGTCACAGGTAATGCATATGTCAAATATGAAAGCCCTTACTATTCTCAACCAAAAGTTATAATCAAAGATAACCTTTTTAAAAAGTAGGTCAAACTAGAAGGTCACGGGGTCAAAAATCATAGTATATTTGGAAAGGTCTTGTCACAGGTAATTTTCATATATAATATAAAAGCCCTATCTGTTCTCATTCAATTTTTATGAGCAATTAATTTTTGAAAACTGGGTCAAACTTCAAGGTCACGGGGTCAAAAATCATAGTGTATTTGGAAAGGTCTTGTCACAGGTAATGTACAACTGAAATATGAAAGCCCTTTCTCTTCTCTTCTCATTCAAAAGTTATGACCAAGGTCAAAATTTTTGTGACAGACAGACTGAGAGACGGACAGGCTGACAGACGGACAGGCAGACGAATGAGATGTAATGTCCCCTCGCTTTTGTGAAAGCGGGGGACAATTATGGGAGTGTCGGGAGAGAGAACCGTATGATGAAATATGGAGATGATGAGCAGTATTCAAGTTTAAAGTCCATTAAAACAATACAAATTGGGAGCAGAGAAAACAAGGACCTCCAAAATATCAGAGATGGGATCAAGTGCCATGGAGGAGTGAGCATCCCCTGCCGACCGGTCATGCCCGCCGTGTGCTCCTTGTCATGATCGGGAATTTACGGAAAAATTCGTCGACAATTCAGTGTGTAAATAATGGCCTAACAATTAGTATGAAAAACGTCAGTCAGCATTTGACTCAATGATAAATTGTATTTGCTGACAAGGTCATTGTATCGACCATAGAACTTACGAAATGATGACTTTAAACGAGAGCTGTTGATATTCTTGTTTCATCAACTTGTTTGTCAGTAACTTACCTCGTTTTAGAAATTGTTCATACGTAGAGAATGCTCTTACGTATCGAATCAACTAAAAAGATATATATATACCCCATATGCATTTGATAAGGGTACATGTATATTGCTGCATAAGTATGAGAAGTTGACGATTGAAAAGTTAAAGTCATTACGTTTATTATAAAGCTTTGTTGTTAGATTACCATTAACGTCTTTTTCTAGTAAAATATCCAAATATGAAACAGGTGTGTGAGACTGTGGTATTTTTTTTGTTTCAAGCTCACTGGGATATATCGTGTCGACATATGAATGGAGATAACTATTGTTAATTGATACATGTAATACGTCGTCGATATATCTAAAAGTCGAGTTGAAGGCAACAGCAAAAGATTTTTTTTTATGTATAAGATTTTGAATAAATTCTGATTCATATGAATACAAAAATAGGTCTGCTTACAACAGGGCGCAATTGGCACCCATGGGAATTCCAACAGATTGTTGGAAGACCTAGTCTCCATAGATATAGATATTGTCAATCAGAAACTCAAACATCTTTTTAATATCAACTTCAGAGTACTTGTGTGTACAATCAGAATGTTTTGATAAAATAATTTTGCAGATGACCTTTGGCAAGGTAAGTAAATTTACGAGTTCCATTTTTATTGAAAAAGATCTACAGACCGAAACGTGGATATTGTACCTGCAGGCTCTGCTTTATTTTCTTCGCTTGTCAAGTTCAAATAAAAATTCACCATTGCATTTTCCAGTTTTCCTTTTCCGTGCTCAAAATTTACTAGATTGTCTGGATAATCATAATCCGATACATTGTTTTTAGCTCTATCCCAAATTCAAAATGATCCAATCACGTGAAATGTCTACTATAATGGAGCTGATTCCCAACATAATGAATAATTTTCCATCAAGTCAGATTTCTTAAAATAAATGGATTAACAACCATAAACATCATTGGACTGTGTCAGGATAATTAACAAATTTCAAAGGCAATTTTACGTACAATACTATAAAATCACTTATTTTCGTGGTGTCAGTCCTCGTGGTTTAAGAAAAAAATGTTGCTTCGTATGGATTTATTTTCTAGATTGAAATGAGAAACATGATGGATCTCAGTAAAACCTACAAACAATATAAATCTGTGAATAGGGCATAAAACACGGACCCAAAAAAAATCAGAGGTGGGATCAGGTGCCAAGAAGGAGTAACCATTCCTTATCAACCGGTCACACCCTCAAAGAGCCCTATGTATTGATCAGGTAAACGGAATGTTCCGTAGTCAATTCTAGTATTAAAACGAAGGCCTAACAATTGGTATGAAATGTGTCGGACAAAATAAGACCCTATATAAAAGCAGAAATATTCGCTAAGGATTAAATTTCGTTTATTTCGTTGTTAGTAATAATCAACGAAATTAAATCCCACACTAAATTTTTATGACTATATATTGAATAGGGTAACTTTCGAAACAACGAAATTTAATGCCCACGAAACCTTTTTTCATGACAAATCAACGAAATTTTGTGCTTCTACACTAGTTTATATTTTCTAACAAAGTCATTAAAACGACCATAAAATTTACGAAATACTGCAAGCTCGACTCTTAAGTATCGTTTAATAAGATGGGAGATATAAATACCATATGCAGGTGATGTTGGAATATTACTACATAAATATGGAATAGCTGACGATGAAAAAGGTAAATTCATTTTGTTTGTCATACAGTTTATTTGTTAGTTGGCCCTTATCGTCTATAGTCATTAACACATCCAAATATGAGACAGACGTGACAGACAGTGGTGTCTTTTATTTCGAGTTCACTTGGGTATATTGAGTCGACAAATGTATAGAAGTAACTTTTTTTAATTGATAAAACATCGTCGATATAACTAAATGTCGAGTTTTTCCAGCATAATTATGCTTCATAGAAATATAAAACAGGTCGGATAATAAAAAAGCACAATCAGTGCCCATCGAAATTCCAATAGTTTGTTAGAAGATCTGGTATCCGAAGACTACTACAATTTTGACTGGACCACTAGAATAGTCCAAAAGAAATCCAAATATGAATGAATATTTTAAGATAGTAGTGTCTAATTTGTTTTCGAGCGTTTTCATCTTTTTACATTAGCCAAACTGTTTAAGACTTGATTTTAAATCGATATGACATTAAAATAAAATGATAAAAAAATAAAATGTTATTTTATGTTTTAAATGTTGATAACATCAAGATAAGCAGGGTCCTTTTTTGTGACTGTCTTTATTGCAGCTTCAACATTTACCGTATCGCTGTATAGGGCAGTGGTATTTTCACACTCAGTAGAATCATGCTCACCATTCAATAAGGGATTTTCATTCTTGTATTCGGAAACAGGAAACATGTTGCCACTATGAATTGATTGTTCAATTACTTCTACATAGGAATTTTTCTTTTCTCCAGTTAAGGGCTCTCCGTGAGCTTCCAGAGATGGTTGGATATCAGGTGGTTCGAGGTACGTTGACGAGCTGAGATCAGAATTTAAGTCGCATGTTTGGATCCCTTCATATCTTGGTCTGGTGCCGCTTCCTTCCTTAATCACATGGTATTGTTTGTATTCTTTACTTGATTTTTTCACAATCGCTGTCTCTTCTATTAAATCGTAATTAATTTCTTGATATACTGCAGATAAATTTCTTTCCCCAAAAGGCTTGCATTCGACATGTTTTGTTGAACCGTATCGTCTCGATTTCTTACTCAGAAATCTTTGCGCCACTAACACAAGGATAACTATCAGAAGCAGACCCATTCCTGCTCCCATTCCTATAACTAACTTCATGTCACTGCTAGTAGCAACCTCTTGAGTCGGGATTATAAGATGGGGTAGAGATGAATGTACAGGTAAGTCTTTGGTACTTCTTGCAATCAAAGTACCAGATACTGTTGATATTGGTGTGGACATTGAGGACTGTGAGGAAGAGGAATGTTGTTGTGGTGAAGACATTAAGGTAGAGAGCGATAAAGATGAAGAAGGTGTTTCTGTAACGATTACATCAGAAACCATAAGTTCTGTAATGTAATTACATGCATGAATATTTACATCAATCATGTTAATCATTATCGATTTATAAACATTATTTGACAATAAAATCTCAAACCTTTTTCATGTAAAAGAAGTCTATAAACATGTTCTTATGTTAGAACCATTTAAATACCAGTTTTGGGACATCCATTGTACTTCTTACAAACATCCGGTGGACACGTGCATTCTTCTGCACACTGTGCTCCATACCTCCCTTCTGGACAGGATTCCTTACAGTCGGCTCCAAACTTTCCATCTGGACACTCTGCCAAATAAGGGGAAAATAAGTTTTTTTGTACTTTGTTACATTTATAGAGTGTATTCACGATTGAAGAAAAAATAATCAGAACTTTTATTGAATCCAAAAGAAGGGGAGGAGTAATTAATGAAAAAAAAAACCCCATAAATATGGAGGCACTTGAATTTGATTCAAATTGAGAGAAAAAAGTCAAATATAAACATCTCAGGAAAATTAAAAACAAATAATAAAAATTTCCATTTAATACCCATTAATTTAGTCTACCTGCCTTGAAGCTATTCAAATATTTAGTACTTACTTTGGCAACTACCGTGAACTAAATGGAAACCTAAACAGCAATCGGATTTACCATCACTTCTGAAATCAATTTTTTACAATAATTATAGAAGAAAAGTATTATTCAACATGCGATTATTTAAAGAAAGTTTTTGTATATAAAGAACATTGTCAACATTTCTTACTTTAAACAGATCCCCTCTGCTGACTGCATACTTGAATCTAGGTTTAAGGAAGGAATAAAGCAAACATATTCAAATATTTATAATCAAAACATCCTCTACACGGAAACAATATTTTTAGTAAATTGTTGGTTTGGAAACTGGATAGGAAATAATATTTTTGTTTTAAAAAACAACACTAATTTTTAAGCTTAAAACCACCAAAATTAGAATCTAAATGTATTTGATGCATATTCTTATAAATATTTCATTTTTGTTTTCATTTTTTTTTCACCAAACACGGATATAACTTGAGCTATGAATGAGAATAGTGTGATGCAACTGCCCGTCAGAAATTGCTTCTCAATGTTGTAACGCCAAAACGGTGTCAAAATGGAAGGGTTTTGACGTGCGATGTCTAAGATATGTATTGAGAGAATAATTAATCATTTTTGAAGAAATAGTACTTTTTGGAAAGAACCCTAGGCAAATGTACTTTCTTCCATTAAAGCAGTTCATCGAGACGAATTGTGTATAATTTTCTATCATTGTGTTTTCTATTCCATATGAGGTCATGCTATGAAAACTCTACAACTGCATTGTTTTAAAATACATAATTTAATTTTGTTTGTATTCTAGCCCCTGATTGGTTAATATCTAAAAAGGAACACAAATTATTTCTGTATAACCTGGTTTGGTATGGGGACACATCCCCCCCCCCCCCCGACAACCAGCTGAATCATCTGTATCCATATAATCCTCTCATTTCCAGTCCTCGGGATTCATGGAAAATTCCAGATTTAATAAATGTACCTTTAACTTCAAACAATAATTCGATCTTACCACATGTAAACAAACAACAAGGCTGCTAGGCCTATGTATCACTTCCGTTACTTCCGTTACTATGGTTGTATTATTGAGCGGCAAATTTGAACTAAAAAGCAACGAAATTTTACACCCATAGTTATTTAATGATTTTAAAATTAAATTATAAGGAATGACCCTAATTCTTGGCCAAATTATTCGAGTATAACCTGGTTTGGGTGAGTTTACGCTGTTTTATAATCCATTTCGCGGATTATAAAGCGTAAACTGACCCAAACCAGGTTATACTTGAATAATTTGGCCAAGAATTAGAGTCATTCCTAAAATAATACAAAAAAAAATGAAAAAATGTAAGGTTTTTATTAGAGATATATTTGAAGATTCCTTTTGCGATCCCATGTCTTCTATTTCAAAATGTTCTGCGAAAAACTGTAAAACCTGTGACATTTTGATAACTACATGTAACACTTCTTTCACCAGTAATCTTACTGGACAGAGCTTCTATACCAAAACTTCGGAAAATCTGAACTGCAAATCTACTAATGTTGTCCACGGAATAGAATATAATTTTTGTGGACTTGTTTATGTTGGTGAAACCAAGGGATCAATTAATAAAAGAAAATCAGGTCATAGGTTTCAAATAGATAATGGGGGTCAGCAGCTTTTATACAAGCATTTTAATTTACCTGATCATTCTATTTTGTCAATGAAAGTTAGAATTCTAGAAAACAAGCAGTCCATCACTGAGTACACCTTTCCGTAGACAATTTTGGATTAGAAAACTAGGGACAGCCTTTCCCTATGGATGTAATGACAATGTCGATAGTGTTGGAAATCTTTCGAGTCCACAGTGTAACAATGTAAATATGATGGGACTTTTTAACCAGAGATGTTTACAAGCGTAGTCATCGGTTTTACAATAAACCTTTAAACACTATGTCTCTTTTGATTCATTACTACCTTACGTAAATCAGCAGTTAGGTCTACATCATATCCGCACCAAACTTTACTCTGCCCCTTTGAAACTTTTACATAGTCTTCTTGAAAAGGTCAAAGAAAGTCCATTTTTTATTCCTCGATCTGTGATTGTGGATATCGAGAAGTGGTGTAAAGCAGTAGATACTTAAAAATTCCAAGGAACTTTTGGAAAATTTGAAATCACAAGATTTTACCAAAATCATGAAACAGCTTAAAAACTTAGGACTTTTCAACTTTATACACAACCATTCCCCACGATAAATTTAAGTCCAGGCTTTTTGATATCATTGACAGCTGCTTTTTCAATTAAAATGGAACTCTTATATTTACTTACCTTGTCATTGGTCATTTGCAAAATTATTTTGTTAAAAAACATTCTGATTGTACACACAAGTACTCTGAAGTTGACAATAAAAAGATGCTTGAGTTTCTGATTGACAATATCTATCTGGTTCTTGGAGATCAGGTCTTCCAACAATCTATTGGAATTCCCATGGGTACCAATTTGCGCCCCGTTATTACCAGGCCTATTTTGTATTCATATGAAGCAGAATTTGTCCAAAATCTTATACGTGAAAAGAAGAAAACACTTGCTGTGGCCTTCAACTCGACATTTTAGGAATGACTCTAATTCTTGACCAAATTATTCGAGTATAACCTGGTTTGGGTCAGTTTACGCTTTATAATCCGCGAAATGGATTATAAAACAGCATAAACTGACCCAAACCAGGTTATACTCGAATAATTTGGCCAAGAATTAGAGTCATTCCTTATAATTTAATTTTAAAATCATTAAATAACTATGGGTGTAAAATTTCGTTGCTTTTTATTAATTCAAATTTGCCGCTCAATAATACAACCATAGTAACGGAAGTAACGGAAGTGATGGGAGGCGAGGGGAGGTCAAAACTGATACATAGGCCTAGCAGTCGTGTTGTTTGTTTACATGTGGTAAGATCGAATTATTGTTTGAAGTTAAAGGTACATTTATGAAATTTGGAATTTTCCATGAATCCCAAGGACTGGAAATGAGAGGATTGTATGGATACAGATGATTCAGCTGATTGTCAGGGGGATGTGTCCCCATACCAAACCAGGTTATACAGAAATAATTTGTGTTACTTTTTGGATATTAACCAATCAGGGGCTAGAATACAAACAAAATTAAATTATTTCGATATATCGACGACGTATTGTCAATTAACAATGGTTATTTCTATTCTTATGTCGATACAATATATCCCAGTGAGCTTGAGATAAAAGATACCATAGAGTCTGACATATCTGTTTCATATTTGGATATTTTACTTGAAAAAGACGTTATTATTATTGACAAACAAGTTGATAAAACAAGAATATCAGCAGTCTCGTTTAAAGTCATCATTTCGTAAGTTTTACGGTCGATACAATGACCTTGTCAGCAAACACAATTTATCAATGAGTCAAATGCTGACTGACGTTTTTCATAGTAATTGTTAAGCCATTATTTACACACTGAATTGTCGACGGATATTTACGTTACTTCCCGATCATTACAAGGAGCACACGGCGGGTGTGACCGGTCGACAGGGGATGCTTACTCCTCCATGGCACCTGATCCCACCTCTGATGTTTTAAGAGGCCCGTGTTTGCTCTGCTCCTATTTTGTAATGTTTAATGGACTTTTGAGCTTGAATACTGTTCGTTAACTCCATATATATCATAACTTAATTTGTGTAAGAAAACTGTATCATGATGATCATTTAAAAAGCAACAGAAAAGTCAGTCCACGGAAAGAGAGACGTATTGAAATTAACATGTAAAGTTTGAAAGGTACAAACATACGTAAATAAATTAATAGGCAATGCATATTCAAGTACAACCTTTAATCGTGCATTGTAAGAACGTTAAACTTCATTTTAGTCAGCCAGGGGACACTTCCGCAAGACATTTTTTTTTTGTAATTTTCTTATTAACTTACGAGATCAAGTGAAACCTGCATGTACCGAAAGTATTTTTAAGTACACATGCATAAAAATTTAAGAGAAGAAACAAATTTCAATTGGTAATCAAATATACATGTGCCTTTTTCCATGTTTTATTTGGCACAAATAAAAATGCTTTTCAATTCAATGAATTTAACTGTTCGAAAAATCTTTAGATCCTTAGAATATGTGCCTTTATTCTTAATAATGAGTATGTATTTATATTTCAGGCTGGTTAAAAATTACTTTCTCAAGAAAATGGTTACTAATTATTCAGAAAGTCCATTTCCGGGTAAATGTTTAACACTTCTTGTGTTACATGTAGGTCATGAATGTAAAAAGTGCAGATCAGTGGACCACTTATGAAGCCAAAATGATGTGTATTCGAGTTTACAGGAAATTTTAACAGCATGTACAATGAAAAAAGTGCAAAACTAATACTTCGGTACATTGTTTTAAATTTTAAGTCAATTATTCAATACATTTGATCTGCCAAAGTATTATAAACTTTTCTTGATCACTTTTTTAAAATAAAAATATTGCATAAGTTATTGTTCTGATTTGGTTACGATCCAAAAGTTGTTTTTCATTTATAATTGAATACATCTTCCAATATGACAAGCTTGATTAGGTTTATCTCATCTGGATAAGCCAGCTAGGTTATTTCGAGCACAATTTGCTTCTTAATTTTAATAATCATGGGTCAAGAAGGATAACTTTAATTTCTTTCGTACAACTAACTTGGCGTCATTGAGCATGCTCACTGCCAGCTTCCTCTTCTGTCATTCTCCAAAGCTATATGCCGGGAACATTTTGGTACAAAATTTCATCTCGCTCATCGGCAAATGAAAGAAGTATCGAAACAACAATTAAAGTAAGTAAATAAAAATAATTGTTTGCAGAATTATTTCATACTAATTTACCGGATGTTCAGTGATCGTTGACCGGCTAAAGTAAGTTAAGAACTTGTACAATTTTGGCATTCGGTATCCGCCATCTTTAATAAATATTATTTTTGAAATAAACGCAAAATTTAAAATGAATAAATAATCAATAATCAGAATGTATAATAATAATAATAAAACAAATAATTTTTTCCCGTTTCAATCATGAGGCATGTTACGAGCGAGGAAGACGAGGGCCTCGAAGGTGAGGAGCCCATTTGCAAGGGCCAAAACCACTGGAGTAAACATGCCTTCCATAACACCAACTCAAAATGTTAATAGGTCCGTGCAACAAGAGACTTCCACAGTGGTAGTTCCCATGTCATAACCTACATTAAATGC